GTAATATATTTACTGAGAAAAATGGTGACGTGTTCAATACTTATTTTACCTGCTGCATGATGTGCTTCTGTTGTTTTAATTCAGGAGATTAAAAGACCCTCTTGATTCAAGAGAAAACTCCAGTTTTTAAGAAAATGGCTTCTAATTAATTGTTAGTCAATCTATAAGATAAATCAACTTCAGATTAATTAATTAATCAATAACTTGCATCCTTAATTTATACAGGAATGAAATTAATTTATATCTACTCATATTTATGTAATCAAGCGTTTTAATGATTTGACCGACTAACTGCTTAATCAAAAAAATAATAGACAGATCAATAGATTATTAAAATAATGGTTAGTTGCAGCCCTAATTGTCCAATTACCTTGAATAACGATTTAAACTTAGAAATAAATTAAACCCTGTAGGAACACATTCTCATGTTTGTATGTTACTTTGCACCGTTAGATCAAAATTATAAAAATAACAGTAATACAAAACTTAAAAAGTTCAGATTACTCCAGAGTTTATAATGATCAAATAAACGTGAGTAATTTACAGACAGTAATAATACTGATCAATGCTTTAGTGTTAATCATCGTACATCAGAATCAAAGATGTAGAAACTGTTTTCACAGATAAAATAGAATCACTGTTTACCTTTAAGGCCAGCTGCTGGTACTTGTGTTTGAGCTGCTGGACTGAGTCTGAAGGGCTGGCACCCAGAACCGCATACAGGTCCTTTTTTTCTGGTTCACACATCTGGAACCAACACTGACATCAAACGGAGACCAAAACAAACCCAGCAGCTCTGATGTGTTCTTTTACTGAATCACAATTCTGAAACATTTCATCTGCATGACTCAAGTTACTGACAGATCCTGATGTGTTAGTCTGATGAAATTATGGTTCAAAATGCTGAATTTATCATTTTCCTACCTGGTATGATCTGTCTCCAGGCTTCTATTGTTCTCCAAACTACTGAATAAAATAAATCACACAATAATACAATTTTAACAATAATTCTAGTATAAATATCTGTTGAAGCATCATTAAAACTGCTCGAACAAGAATATCTCACAATGTGTTTTACAAACTTCTTTGTTGCTCAAAAGCTTCTGAACATCTAGGGTCTTTTGACTGTTTTACTGTGGATTATTGGTTTGTTTATTTATTTATAAAATCCTCATAATGTTCTATACAGATTTTAAGTAATACAGATACGTCGTAAACAACTCCACTGTTAGAAATGAACAGATCTGACTCGACATACCGTCAAAACGTCCTTTTAGCTCCGGGAATGAGGCAACAACCAGAACCGACTCACAAATAATGTTGGCTTCACATCCTCAATAAAATGTTTTTTATTCCTGGTTTTCGTCCTAGCTTTGAGCTCGAAACACCTGAACCAGTGGTGTCCGGTACTTTTATAAGTCCCCCTAAAACTAGTGCCTAACTACATATAGTTCCGGTTAGTAACGCGAGGCCGTAAAGTAACAATTTTTATCATAAATTCCGATTCATTCATTCATTCATTCATTCATTCATTCATTCATTCATTCATTCATTCATTCATTCATTCATTCATTCATTCATTCATTCATTCACTCATTCNCTACCTTCTCCTCTCTGTCAACGCTCTCTGGTTTCATTTAAAAGAGTCGATCATCAGATATTGTCCAAGATTAACCTTCAGGGTGGATATAGCTCGATAGCAGCCTCGCACCGATGACCTAGTTGATGTCATCATTTACCCAGAATGCTTTGTGTGTAAATAAAATGGCCCCGTCCGTGTAATATATTTTTAAACTTTTTGTTTAAAAATTATAAAACTCAACAGCCTACATTACTTTTACAGTCTTTATTTTACAGTTAAAATATATGTTTATCAAATAAAGTCTAATGTTACAACTAATCATAGATCCCTTTAAGAGGATCTGATCAAATCTTTGGGTTTGTTCAACAAGAGTCAAGGAAGACGTACAAGTCATGAGAAATATAATATAGCAAGAATAAAAATATATAAGTTTTATTTTACTTTGTTTCTATTGTGCTACACAGCACAGAACTCTCAGTGGGTGATATACATTCCCTGCAAGAATTATTGGCTTTAATTTAATTTATTAGAATAGCTAATTTTGTTCTGCCGTTTATACAAGATGTCTGTTCTATAATCTCCTGTATGAAGATTCTGACATAACTAATCTCAAAAATGTGTTTTTCTTTCTTCAGTAACTACTAAACCTCAGATTAAGCCAAGTTTACTTTGAACCTTTTATGTTATTGAGTTGGACAGCTCTGTATACAAATTTAGAGATTTAGACATATTCAAACAAACCACAAAATAAATACATTCATGAATATAAAATAAATATATTAATACATTTTTAAAAGGTCAGAATTAAGTAAAAGAGATATTTATTTTAAATTATATTATTAGCATTAATTATTAATTATATATTTTAAGTATTAAACTAAATTACTCCTATTAGTTTTATATGTGATCTAATCATTAGCACTGCAGTATGTATACATCTAGTTCAGGCTTCCAGTTGATTTTATTTACTCCATCTTCAGTGTAGACATCTTTGAAGTTGTCTAAAATGTTATAGTGTGCAGAGCCATTTACCCATCACTCCATTCAGGATGCTTATCCTGCTCTTTACTCATCCTAACATTGTGTATTTTGCTAAAATACATACACTTCCTGTTTATTTGTATTTGTGGAAACTAACCTCCTGTAGCTGCAGGGTCTGGGTGGGGACAGGCTCAGCTGTGAGGTAGATGAGGTAATGGCTCAGGGAATGGCAGCAGGTGACTGTGATTGGCTTTGATGCGGCGTGTTTCTAATTAGTCTGTCTTTGTTCTGTGAGCAGAGAGCTGAGGCCCCTGAGGAGCAGTGGTACTGCTCCTTACTCCTTACAGCCACAGTTTGTGAAAACATGGCCTAGCATTCCTTTAAAGGATGCATGTTACCTGCAAGGGTTTTAGACTTTGTAACTTTATGATGACAAATGACAGAGTTGTAGCCATTTTGGACAAACCTTGTTAAAAATAAAATAAATAAACAAATTCTTGTGCTATAATTGTTAAAATAAATATATCAGACAACCCCTAAGTTGAAAACACAAAAAGTAAACTAGAGAAAAGACGTTTTAAATCTCTCTCTCTCTTCAGAATGTTACCAGTGCAGAGACTAAATGGTGCAGGTTAAAATCTTCAATTTCAATACTTCATTAGAACACTAAATTGTGTACTTTTACTAAGTTCATGTACACCAGTTTCTGTAAAAACCTTTGACCTGTATGCACAAAACGGCTCTTGAATGTACGGTACTGAGTGGTGCTTGGGTAACTCTCGGTGTAGAAAAACATTAGAAAAACTGAGCATTTAATAAACTTATGAAATATTTAATAATTTGGAAAATAGTGTATTTAGGGAATATTAAAAATGACACAGAACAGCAACTGTGTAGCTAGTTTAGAAATGTTTAACCCCCACAGAATGACTAAAGTGAGTTAATTCAGTTTGTTTTGTTTGATACGAGGCAGCAGACGTCTGTCACACATGCTGAGTTCTGCTCCACGCCTCTTTTGGTTCTGCACTGCTGGGTTCATTTATTCATTTATGAACACATGAGGAGGACCTGACTTCGGGGGATACAGCCGGGTCGGTCTGTGCGGCGATTTTCTGGAATTATGTGAATCAGGCTTCATTCACACGTCTGTTCACTGGAAGAATAGCTTCACCATTAAAATGTTACATGTAAATAAGTAAAAACCATTAATAATTTGGGTTTGGCTCCAGTATCAGTACTTGTATTTGTACTTGTAGTGTCTTTGTTTCTCTGTTTAGTTTGCTGTTGGTGCATTAAATCCTGGAATGTGTTTGGCCAGTGAGGAGACACTGACGCAGCCTCGCTTTGAGATTATGTGAGCTGCATTCCTCAGTTGCATGACGAGGAGCCTTATAATTGAGACAGCACTCAGCGCAGAGCAGTGACCTATGCAGCCGACAAATACGCACTCATAAGCAGTGGTGGGCACAGTTCCCCTAAAGCACTAATAGGGTAACTCATTTCCTGATTAGGGCTTTAGGACTTTTGCTAATTTTAAAATTTATGGAGTTGCTAAATTTATAGACAAAATTTAGAAGCACTAACTGAGGTCTATAAATATTATTATGACCCCGGCACGCGAAGCGTAAGAGGGAGTCATATTGTTTTCGTACATTTTTTTTCCAGTGATTTTTAGTCAACCGTACCACATAAAAGGGCTGCACCGATCAACATGAAACTTTGCAGGACTGTAGAAGAGTCTGACCTACACTGCACCAGCCATTGTTTTTACAGTAGACTCCATATTTGAGGAGGGGGCTCCTTTCAAAGAGGGGGTGTCAGGACATGCAAAATCGCTTATAACTCAGAA